GGGGGGGGGGGGGGGGGGGGGGGGGGGGGGGTTGAACACCATCACGGAACAAGTCCACGATCGGGTGGAAGAGATCTATTTGTCGACGGCCCAGTTTCTTTAGGGACCTTAAGCATGCACGACGGTAACGCAACGACGACAGCCAAAACAAAATTCTTCAAATAAATTATTGCGAAGAAGTGTTGTTATGTTTTGTCCACTGCATGTATATATGAATTGAGTTGAGTTTGAAGAGATTAAAACAAAGGCTTTATTGTTAAAAACGCTTCTGCTGAGCAAATTTGTAGTTTCACTTGTCGCGTCTTGACATGTCTGCGTTGTACACGAGACGTGAACATCTCTGGTTTGCCGTTGTAAAAAGCCCTAACACAACATCTCTAACTCCCGTGGGGCTTTTAATTATTCATTTCTTTTGTACGAGATCAGGAATATCATTGTGTGAATAGCCGTCCTCGTCGCGTTGCCGTCCTGTTTGCTTAAGGTCCCTTTTGTATCCCATACGCCAGACGTCCATTGCGCCAAAACAATTGCGCAATGTAGCTGTGCCAAAAACGTTTCTCCAAGATAAGCCTATACTACATGCACTTCGATATTTCAAGTAAAAAAAATGTGCAATACAGCGACGTTTTAAAACTACGCCATTGTTAAATGCCAATAAAGATCAGTTGCGAATATTTTAATAAAATGAATTTATTTATTTATTTGTTAGTATTTACTGACCATGGGTTTCTCACCCTTCATTAGCATGCATTTAAAATCTGAATTATTATTGATAACTTTCATAAACACCCCTGCTTCTGAATCAGTAATAATGCGCGTTACAAGTGTGCATATGTGAACTAAATACCGCGTCGTGATTTGTTTGTAGCCTTATTAATTATTCATGAATTTTACAAAGTTAAATACAGTCGCTCTTTCAAAATCTTTTCAGGGGCACTTCTTACAGTTCTGCACATAATAATTATGTTTCTTTCACAACCTAGGAAATTAGGAAGCTTATTGCAAGTTATTACTTGTTCAAAAGGAAGCCAATATGAAGAGGCAGCAATTAATCGCATTGTATTTGATCATCATAGCTGCATGTTATATATGCCACAGCGAAGCAGTTGCCGGTACTTGTAATCGTTGGTTTGGTCCAGCTGGAACTGTCCATTGCTATAAGAGTAATCGATACGATGATTACCAATGGGCTATCTGTCGTACAAATACATATGTCAAAACCACTTCAAAAGGCAGACACGCATGCCGAGACAGCACAAGAGATTACTGTTATTATCAATGTATGATTGATGAGTTTGACAGAGCGAATGGTGTTGTTTTTTCACAATGCAAGTGCTCACCAACTGGCCCTCCACCTACTGTAAAAGTTCCACTTCCAGCATGGTGTTATAGTCCTGATGGAAGAAACTGTAGTTGGTACAGAAAGTGTCTTAACAAAGCCTATCCCAAATGTGAAAATGACAAAGACGACTATGCCATCAAGTTTGCAGAGAAGTTTTGCCAACTTTACAATGAAAGCTACAAAGAATTTTCCCCAGAAGGTAAGAAATGGGTCGATGCTGTCCGGAAATGCCTTCAGGTTAAACTGGTTCCACTGATAGATACATTTCGTGTTAAGACCTGTAAAGATCTAAAATCTACAGCTTTCAAAACACACAGCCCTTGCTACCTAAAGCCTGATCGATCATCACTGTCGTACTGCCGTTTATCAAACGAAGATAAAGACACAGTCTTTTGGACTATTAAATCGTCCATCTTGAAGGCATTTTGGCCCACTCTGAAAGGACTGCTTGATGTTAGGAAAGGATGCAGTGAAAATACCAAGACACAAGAAGTCAAGGCTAAAATTCAGGAAGAAGTAAACAAAATAACTAACAAAAACAAAACCAATCCAGTAAATGATGTAATCCGAGAAATGAATGTGCGAATCAAAGTTTGGGTACAAAATTCTGTTTCCCCAATTCAACTTACCATGTTTATAAGAGACAATGATTGGGACAACGCTTCTAAACGAAGAAAGCGCTCAGTCCCAGATGACAGAGAAATTGCAAGATCGCAATTTGCAGGAAAGATCGTGGATGCATTGGCCTCGGAGCAAATGTGGAAAGACAAGGGCGTGGCTTGGTTTGCTTATGCAGAGAAGGATGGGAATATCATGTCGATAAGATTACTTGTAGCTGATCGTTTTAAATATGAACGCAGAGATAACAGCACAAAACATCAACGCATGGATAACAGCACAAAACATCAACGTATGGATAACAGCACAAAACATGTTGGTATGGATAACAGCACAAAACATCAACGCATGGATAACAGCACATCACCTTTACAGCAACCAACCAACCTCAGCGAAATTTTGATGCAATTGGGGAAAGATGTTTTGAATGGAACTCTTAATTTGCAAATTGATGGAGAGAATGTTGAAATCACGAAATTGAATGGTTGTTTAGATTTGAAATGCGAAGAACATGCGTTCAATATCAAATCCTTAAAATTCCAAGAAAACAATGGAAATCCCAAAGAGGCATGCGATGCTGATAACGGGCCGGATGGAGCTAGACAATGTGTCAAACTGCCGGGGTACAACGACTACCAATGGCTTACTTGTCGCACAAACTCGTACATCAAACTAAAGACAAACGGCAAGCACTACTGCACTGACCAGTCACGTACATATTGTCGCTACCAGTGTATGTTGGATAAGTATGAAAAAAGCAGTGGTGATGTTTATAGCAGCTGCCTGTGTTCCGGGTCGCAAAAGGTAACATATTCTTTTGCATATGTTGTTCTTTTGGCCGCAGTTAGCTTTTTGTTGGTAAGATAAACCACTAGAAAATGACTTTTAGAAAGGACTTTTAGTACCAAATAACTTTCCATATGTCCTGCAATGGTTGTCATAATAACTTTGGTGAACACTATTATAGGTTATTATTCAGTTTTTTAGTATTAAGTTAGGATTGGGGTTAAGCTTAGGATCAGGGTTTTGATTAAGATTGCTTTATAAATACGTTATGATCAGGGTTAAGGTTAGGATAAGTAAAACTAGTACATAATTAGTCCTGCTATTAAATAATAATCGAAAATGTAATTCGCACATGTAATACAGTAAAGCATTTCAATAAAAAACTGGTATATATACAGTCAGCAGAACTGTCTCTGTGTTATTTTAATCATTGGTGGGTAGATTCCTATATTAAAGTGGTGTTATTTTTCGTATGACCATGAAAACTTGATCCCCTAGCATCTAGGGCAATGTACAATTGCAGCGTTCCATATATTGTTCAGTTTTGGTTATGAGCACTTTATCATAAATACTGCACTATAAGATGACTTTTAGAGAGGTAAAAAATCGGGCGGGCAGGCCCTTGGTACGAGGTTGGTACGAGATTGGCTCCATTTTCCTTCGAAATTCGAAACATCGTCTCCTCAGCGATTTATATGATGGGATATAAAAGAAGATTGATGTACATTCGACGTATATATAAATGTAACATGTTAATTAAAAAGTAAGATTACAAAAAAAAAGAATATAAATAATCCGCGGCAATTCAAGATCTATTCGTGAACTTTTCGTCGTCTATATATATATATGTGGAGCAAGAACTCGCCCTAGAGTTCCTGGAAGTAGACCCTAGAGCCTGTTCACAGGCTGCTACATCCCTGCCCATCCTTCATCCTTGGTGCAAATCGATGAATGATGGCTGTGCGGAATGTCATGCGGAATAGAGAGATATGTAATATTCTCTGGATTTAGTTTAATTATTATATTATATTTCACTTAATTATTCTTGAGTGGTTCCCGAGTTTACACTGAGTTTCGCTGCTAATATCCTCAAGCACAATCTGTCAACATATCATTTATCAATTCATGTAATCTGAGTACGGAAACAAACACGCGACAACATTCCAAGACATTTCATTGAAATCAGTTTTTGTTGCAAGTTGTAGCAATTTTGTTGCCCGTATTCCTTTGTTGCCTTTGAAGTGGAGTATACCGCTCGATGTGTTCAAAACATTAAACTAGTTTTTTGTAATCAAGGTTTTCCAGGAACAAACATGTGTTGCCAGGAAGAATCTACCCTGTGCCACG